AACTTGTTTGAGAATTATAAGAATTCATTATAAAAGTGCAGGGTTTTGGCAGCAAAGTTTGGCAGCAACTAGGAGCTTGATTTAGGTGTACTCGAAACACTTTTAGAAGCGGCTCTTTCCACTGACTGTATAGGGGGTCTAGTGTAGTCCATCAAGTAAGGTAGTGTGAACATACCCTTAGAATACCCTCCAGTGGCCATTAATTTTGATGCTGAGACTCCAGCCCTTAGAGAGCTCATTGGAGCAGCTGACTCGGAAAGGAAGGGAAAAATCTATTGACCCTATGGAATAAAGACCTTGATTAGTCCCTCATGCAAAGAACGGCTGACAAGGTGCCCTGGTTTCAGCTGGGATAGAGTTAATTTTCTTCTTAGTAGCTGGTATAGCGCTGTGTTTTGGATTTAGGATGAGAATAATGTTGATAACACACTGATGTTTTAGTTGTTGCTAAGTAGTGCTTACACCAGTCAAGGACTTTTCAGCTTCCCATGCTCTGCATGGTGTACAAGAAGCTGGGAGGGGGCACAGCCAGGGGCCCTGACCCAGGTGGTGTTGTACAGTGTATCACTTGCTTTGCATATTATTATTGTATTATTATTTTATGATTATTATTACTACTATTCTATTTTATTTTACTTCAGTTATTAAACTGTTCTTATCTCAACCCACGAGTTTTCTCCCTTTTACCCATCCGATTCTCTCCCCCATCCCACAGCGGGGGGGGAGTGAGAGAGCGGCTGTGTGGTGTTTAGTTGCTGGCTGGGTTTAAACCACGACACAAGGAAAACAGGCCGAGCTTTTTGTTTTTTACTCCCCCCCAGATCTGAGATGTAACTCAGAAGCTGTGATTCCCTTGACTTCTGTTAAGGAATGGCAGCATTCAAAGCAAGACCATGGGGCTTTTGGCATTTTAAAATCTTTTAAGAATACTAAGGACTGAGTGCAGGAAAGACATCCCTTTAGTGCCTTCACTAGGCTGACGGGATGAGATACTTCAGAACCCTCCAAAGAGATGTCAAGGGGAAGGAGGAGGTTGCACTTTATTAGCTATCTTCTCAGGGTTTCTCAGGCATCTGATAAGGCACCATCTCTTTCTTGTTTTCTCTGTACCTTTCCTACCTCCTGTGTGGTTTCTGTGATGTCTAAGAAGGATCTAAAAAGCTGCTCACGGTGCAGCTTCACTTTAACTCTAAAAGTCACAGGAATCACCCACAAAGAAGTAAGTTGATAAAAAATCAGATTCTGCCAGGCTTTTCTGAAGCTTAATTCCAAAAAGTAAGTAACAGTGTTGTTTTAAAAGAAGCTCAGAATTACTATATATTTTTTATATATAATTATATATTAAGTCATAGTCCTATGAGAGGGATTAAAATAAAAAACACAGTCCAAAAGACCAGGTTAGAGAAAAACAGACTCAATCAAATCTCCTAAAATACAGGGACTGCAACTCAGAGCAAGCCAACGGGAAGTGCAGGTAATTCTGAACAAAAGTGTAAGCTTTATTTAAAAGTTCCACTTTTTGTTCAGGGACAAAAACCATAAAAGAAATTTAATGATTGAGAAATGTAAGGGGATGAACCTCATGTAAACTGTTCTTGATTCGAAGATGTTAGCTAAATGAAAGAGAGAAAACAACGCTATAAAAACCTTTTTCTAAAACTACAGCTGTGGGTTGTGAAACCTTGAGTTCAGCTCCTAGGAGGATCCTCCACAATTTCAACATCTCTGCACATCTCACAGAGTTAGAAAAGTAACATCTGATGACCCATTTTTAGAAAAAAGAGAACTGCTCCTTGATTTTTTTTAAATGAAAACAGATTTGTTTGCTAGAAGTTTTCAAACTGATACATCCTTCTTCATGCAGGAAGAGGTGTTTTTGACCTTCTTCTTGTGACTGACAAATCGTTTTAGCCTTACTCTTGATGTAATAATCCAAGCCATCACTTGCACCGTAAGATACATGGTAAGTCATCTTTGCTTCTTCTTTTTTTTTTTTTTTTTAACATTTAGTAGTTGCTTAGGTAGTCTAATGCCTATGGTGAAAAATACTTGTGGAATCTTGCCAGTGTACTCATCTTTAAAAATTACCCTGGGGAAATGCATAGGATATGTTAAATGGAATACACTATTTTTAAAGGACAGAACCACTAGAAGACTTGAGCAGAGGATCCAGGTAAGCAAAGAAATAAATCTCTACAGATTGATCTGAGTAAGAAATATAATGGAATATGCCTCTCTGATTTCTTCTCTGAAGATGATATATAATGATGGAAATCTGGATTTTAAAACTGTTACTGCAAAGACATAAGAGCTTATTTGAGTGAAGAATACTTACTCTTCTCACAGGTTGACTACAGAAAATCTGATGTTGTATATCAAACACTGTCTCATGGAACCTGTTTACAAGCAGCATAGCTTAGCATTTTACCTCCATTTTTAACTGTTACCATTTTATAGCACTGTGCAAATGAACTGAAACTCACTTTAATAAAATCTTTGCCTCTTTAAAAACAGAGAGCTCTGACCTGAAACTCAGCATGAAACAGTGACATAAGTTTGCTCAGCTTTTCTATGCACAGCTTTTCTCTTGAAAACTGCATGACTGCTAGTCTCAACCAGAGCAAAAGAATTTGTATAGCAAATTGCAGATTTCTAGAAATATTGCATTTCTCTAAACTGTATTCAAAATAATATAGACCTCTTTTTGACATATCCTTTCTTCAGAGATCTTCCAGGATTATCTTTGGGTTTTTTGCCTAACGATCAGGAAACATAAGCCCAGTCAGATATCTTTAATTGGGTAAACAACCCAGGTTGATTAACCCAGTGAAGCATTCTAGCCAGTGTTTCCTAAAACAGTGAGATTATAGGATAACGCACAAAACCACTTACAATTCCTTTTTCTGGTTTCTAAATTAGTACCTGTAGTTTCCACTGTCGGCATGTGCTGGATACTATACACAATTCAGGGTAGTAAGTACTTTTGCAGAGAGAGGCTTCTGAAGCAAAAGCTAGGCTAGAGAAATGGGGCTCAGTTAGCGGAAGGAACCGCTCAGAGGGAAGACCACAATTTAAGCATGCAAAAAAGGTTGAAAGGAAGAAGATAAGACGCAGGGAAGATGTGGTCATCAGGAAAACAAGGGAAGGCATTGACACAGCAGTTAGCAGGAAGAAGGGGCTGTCTTTTTAATTTGAAAATTTTAATTTGAAAAGAATTACTGCAATAATATCGAGGCAGCATTTTGCAGTAATATTTGCATTAATCCTATCAACCACATATTCATAAAATCCCGCTCTGGGTTTATGACCCAGGTGTTTTTCATACCCATGTTTATGCGTGAGCATCATGCAGGTACAAAATGATCAAGCAGGATGTGCTGGGTCTGGTGCTGTGTTGCAGCCAGTCCCTCATCCCATAATCCCAGTATACAGCATGACTGACTGACACATCGGAAATGGGGATATTTAGCTATAGGCAGTACCAGGGACTTGTACTATCAGGGCATGCAACATAGATCTAGCAGATCTAGCTGAAGGGAATATTAAATATTTGCACAGTGCCCAAGTCTTGTCATGTTTGGAAATAAAGAAGTTAATGTTTTGGACCAAAGACTGTTTTATAAAGGTGCTTTTTTTTCTAAAAGAGTTGCTGAAAGTACTTAAGAAATATAAACCCTTAGATACTTTAAAATCAACTTATTTACTGTCAATACACCTGAGCCACAGCCACTTCCTTTACCAACAAAACCATTATCTCAGTAGCGTAATAACTATGTAGTTAGTACGGCAGTGGAAAAAAACCGTTTCACAGAGATTGCCAGAGCTTCCTGAAAGCTGGTCTTTGAGGAGTTTGACAGCACTTATTTTCTCCCCAAGAAATTGTATCTAGCCAAAGCTGAGACCCAACCTGTTAAAACTTGCCAATTTTGTCTTATTCCTCATTCTCCAGAAGAAAACTTCATGCCATACTCAACATGCCAAAGTAATGTCTGAACATGGATGCTGTCATTCTTGATATTGTTAGGAGCAGAGCTGACAGCCAGACTCAGGAAGAACTTGGTGGAGGGGCAAGAAAAAGGTTTGCAAAAGCAACACCTCTTTGTTTACAAGGTGCAGATTTTGCTCCAATAAAGCTTCCTCCTTTTGGGCAGATTCACATCTGCAGTGTGCAGCGTAAGAATCTCCATCAGGAGCTGGCAGCTCAGGAGAGACTCAGATCCTCATTTTTAAGGTCACAGGAAAGCAGTCAAAGACCGAGCAACTAGTCCCTTCCCCAAGACCTCAGCTTAGGTTTAGCTAAGTTAACCACTTTGACACAAGTTAAGATAAGGACATTAGCATTTTGAGTGATCTGTGCTTTCACCTGAGCAGTTTTGTCTAGGGAGACACAAATAGACACTTCAAGGATATCACAGGTCTTACAGGCCACACTGATAGCAACTGTCACCTTTCATGTCATTTTGCCAAGATGTTTGCCTATCTGTTGTTTCTACAGGACTGTGCACCGGTTTCACTCCAGAGCCACCTAAAACCAGCACGCTTCCAAGGCCTATGCCTGACCCAGACTCTGTAAAGGACACAACGTTTGCCATTTTAACCCAGACCAACGCTGCCGGCTGGCTGCTCTGCAACACCCAGGACAGCAGGACCACCAGGTGGGTAAGTTTAGTGCTGAGGGGATTTCCACACCACACCTCCAGTGCCCTGATTCCCACAGGCATTAAGGCTCCCAGGAAGTCACGAACAACCTGAACAAGCAGGAGTCAGTTTGTTTGACCCATGTCACAGCGCCTTCGCAGGTGACTTCACAGGTATATAGATGGGTTTCCTGGGAGCACTGCAATGTCATTCTCTTCCGCACCTTGCCGCAGCAACGCCTGTGTGCTTAACAGCAAAAAGCATTCCAGATGAGGACATCAGCGTGTTTCATTCCCCTCACTGCTGAGCTTCGACTTTCCTCTAGTTTAACATCCTTTCCTTCCTTTCCAGACCAACACGCCATGGAAAACTACACCATGGACTTGGCCGACTTGGCACTGACAACAGAATTCGACTACAGCGATTCAGCGCCATGCATGGGAACTGAGGAAAAGCACTTTGCAGCAAAACTTTTGCCACCACTTTATTCTTTGGTGGTGATATTTGGCCTCACAGGCAACATGCTCGTTGTCCTTATCCTGGTAAAATACAAGAGATTGAAGAGTATGACTGACATCTACCTGCTCAATTTGGCAATTTCTGATTTGCTGTTTGTATTTTCTCTCCCTTTTTGGGCTTATTACGCTGTTCACGACTGGATTTTTGGGGAGGCACTGTGTAGAATTCTCTCAGGTGTCTACCTCCTTGGCTTCTACAGTGGGATCTTTTTCATAATCCTGTTGACCCTAGACAGGTATCTGGCCATAGTGCATGCAGTGTTTGCTTTAAAAGCTAGGACAGTTACCTACGGCATCCTCACCAGCGCTTTCACTTGGGCTGTTGCTATTTTGGCTTCTGTTCCTGGGATAGTATTTCACAAAACTCAGAAGGAAAACTCACGTTACACTTGCAGTGCTCATTATCCATCGGAGCAGAGAAATGCATGGAAGCAATTCCTGACCTTAAAAATGAACATCCTGGGACTCGTTATTCCAATGTTAATTATGATCTGCAGCTACACACAAATTATAAAGACATTACTGCAATGTAGGAATGAGAAGAAACATAAAGCAGTCAGGCTTATTTTTATCATCATGATTGTCTACTTTTTTTTCTGGGCACCATATAACATTTGCATTCTCTTGCGTGATTTTCAAGGTTCATTTTCCATCACTACTTGTGAAGGCAGCGGTCAATTGCACAAAGCAACCCAAGTGACAGAAACAATCTCAATGATCCACTGTTGTATCAATCCTGTGATCTATGCGTTCGCTGGAGAAAAATTTAGGAAGTATCTTCATAGCTTTTTCCGAAAGCAGATTGCATTCCACTTCTCTAAATACTGTCCCGTTTTCTATGTTGACACAGCTGAACGGGCTAGCTCCACCTACACACAATCTACTGGAGAACAAGAACTTTCTGCTGCATTGTAAGCTGTGTCTAGCAAAAAAGTGGAATTGACTTTTGTGAAATCAAGTCGGTGATGAAAGCCTGCAGAATCTGTCCTGGATATTGGCTGTAAGGCAGCTGCAAAAGCTTACCAAAGCTTGTATTGCTCATACATTGGGTATTTGTACATAAATGAAAAGGATATATCAAATTAGCTACCTAGATATGCTAATGTAGGGGAAACAAGTGTCCTGTAGGGAAAAAAAGTGTCCTCTTTTTTTGTGAATGTAAAAGCATAGTTTTGTACTATAGGGCTCAAAACCACACAAAGGCTGAAGGCTAGCAGGCTCGTAAACTGATTTTTTGAAGTGAACTAGAGGTTAGAAATTGACACTGGTTCCTTGGAAACATCTCTTGACTGTACCTTACAGAAGCTATCTCACTCATTTAAACTCAGTCTCAGCCACATCTTTTACTAGCCTGGTTGTGTATCGCTGTAAATAATGCTAAATTACTGAGGTCTGTGATACAGAATCTTTACAAGTGGTATGGGAAAATTTTATACATTTAGAAGAGACTCTGATATTTCAAGGTGTATTTTCCTTTGCGTATGGTTGAGTACCAGCTTCTTGGATCTTTCTCATAATAGTTTTAACTACTAGGTATTGATAAATAAGTGACTCGAGAGTTTGATATTTCAGAAGGCTCTATTTTAATGAACTGCAGTTTTATACGCTATTTGTACTAAAAAACTAACATAATGACCTATCACTGATCAGAAAATCAATGCGTTTACAATATTTTAAAAACAAAGTATTGCACTTGAAGCTTTAACCAGGTTAGATCAAATGCGGACAACAAGTCAACAGGGTTTTAGCTTTTTAGTGCAGTGATTTTGCTTGCCATTTTTCTAGCCTACATAAGAGAAAAACTTCAAAATATGAAATGAATGCAGTTGTAATGGCTGCAAAACCACAACAGCATTAGAGGTGTGAAAATGATTTCTGAACAGGGTTGACCCAGATGGTTTTAGAGATAAGCATATGCTATAGACATTTAAGTTATCAAAACATATGAATAAGTAATAATATTCACTGTTTGACAGAGTCAAGGGCATAGACCACCTCTTTTTTGTTTTAGAAGCAGGCATCATTTAGTGGCTATGAAAATGTTTTTTTCTGCCATTTAGGAGTTTTACAGAGAGAGCAAAAGCTTCCATAATTAGTAAGTCAAATATGACTGGGCTTCCTCTTAAGGCTCAGATCCTGCAAAGCACTTGAACACACAGAAAAGATGAAATAAATATGGGGATACTCACATGCTTAAGATCATACCATAATCACGCTGTTAATTGACTTAGGCCAAGTTGTCCTTTCTAGCATTTCTTATATTTCCCCTAAGACATATGGTTTTGGACAACTCTGGAGACAGAAAATTAAAAGTGAGTATTTTGATTGCTGTTCTTATCCAGCAGGGCAATTTCTGTTTCCTAACTCCTCTAGATAGCCTTTTAAATAATATTTTCAAAGAAGCAAATGTTTCAAACAGCCCCAAAGAGATTTTTACATTGCCAAGTGCTTGTGAAAGCAGGAAGTGAAATAGGGAAATCTTTGCTTATCAAACCACTTGTTTTAAGTTATTCAGTTTTGTCATATTAAGCACCACTTTTGGACTAAATCCACAGGGGAAGTATCACAAAAGTATATTAAATCCTCTAATTTACAAGATTTCCAGCTGCATGCTCTTTTTTAAGACCCTGTGCATCAGTTACTTTCTGGACTTTGTATATGCTTTTAAAACTGGCAACTATATCAGTATCAGCAGAAATTGGTTAATTTCAGCATAAAATGACAAATATATGCATTTATTTTTTAAAGACATAGGAAGCTATGTGCAGTAACTTCTAGATAGGCTGGCTTTTTTTTTTTTTTTTTTTTTTGGATACTTTTTTAAAAAGCCTACATGATACTATGGCTACAAGAGGAGGGAAAAAAAGCATTTGCTTTTCGGGCATGCCATACAGTGCGGAAAATTTACGATGCTATTTTTTTTTTAAAAACATAGGGAACTATGTGCAGTAACTTCTAGATAGGCTGGCTTTTTTTTTTTTTTTCTTTCTAGGATACCTTTATGAAAATATTTTTAGATTTTATTCTGCTCTTGACAAGAACTTTCATTTGGCCCCTAAGACACCTTGCCTTTAAGAAGTTACTTTCTCTGGAGGGCTTTGATGCCAGGCAGGGTATGTATCTTGACCAGCCCTGCAGGAGCAAAGTACAACAACCAAATGTGCACAAGGACACTGACAAGCTTTCTGAGAGGAAAATAAAAAAGCAGCCCCAATCCTTTGCAGTGTTCTCTTCTACAGCATGGATTTTTCCAAGCGACAAGCAGCTTCCGAAGGGAGGAGGTGGAACTTAGAGATTGGTGGCCCTGTGGATCAGCAGCTTATCAAGAGTTTCTATCGCTTCAACTAGAAGGGACGACACTTCAGCAAATGAGAACAAGCCAGATTTCAGCTATTGTAGTGAAATGCAATCCACATTCAAGGAGATAACAGAAATCGCGGTATTTGGTAGCACTGCTGGTGCATTCAATCAAGGACTCTGCCTGTAATAATATTTTGTATTACACAATCCATTAAAGTTGGTTAATTTTTGTGAGTTAGACTTCTTGATCCTTTCCCCCTCCGCGCATTTTTTTTTTTTTTTAGAATAGCCCAGAAAAATGAAAAAGGAAGATAAATTCCCTTTCATAACAGGTTGCTATGATGCTGAAAGAGCAGGCAGGACAAATTCAGGGTTTTAGAAGTGGACTAAGAACCAGCACCATCAAATAACACAGGACCACCAAGACAACGCCAGTGTTCTTAACTGCTTGTCATGACTAATCTAATAATAAATATGCTATTTTGGTTGTCATTACCTTTCGTTTTGTTTATTTTTATAGATGGGAAAAGCACTATCTGACACCATTCGCCCTGACCCTAGAAGATTAAGTGTTTTTAAAATAAATGAAGCACACAAAAGAATTTTTAGCGTGTTTAGGATCTGCCCTGGCGACCGAAGGGCGAGCATCCGACAACGTCCGCAGACCTGGGCACGCGCTTCCCTTCAGTTCCTAGAGATGACGGTGCCACCGCGCGGCCACGCCGCAAGGTTTCACGCTACCCGGGCAATGCTGCTGGTGCTTCCCTCTTTCGGGAACGCTTCTTTTCCCAAAAGGATCTTCTCTCAAAATGACTACCGCCGCTACGGGCAGCATCAGGATCATGCAACCAGCAGCAAGCCTTAGAAAACACTCACGGCCACGAAGAACGGAGGGCCATTAGACGGGCGGGCGCGGTCACCTTTTAATGACGCAGGCAGGTGCCACAGTGTGATACGGGAGAAGTGAGGCTTGCTTTAGGCCACGCGCAAGTCTTGCGAGCGCTCGTGTTGTCCGGATTCCGGCCATCGGCTCTGGAAGGAGAGCGTCTGACATTGCCGTCGACTGCTTGGAAGTTACAAGAACGGAAATACATTCCCTACCTTATTTCCTTTGGAAAGACAATACGGATTGAAACTGCGGTGGAAACGAGACGCCCCCGCTGCCGACGCGGCAGAGGCGGGGC